ACACCTTGTTATCTCGGATTCTCCAGCATCTGCAGTTCCTACTATCCCTGTGAAGGAACACTATTTTGAACCCGTGCAGCAAAATCGACTGCTGTGTCACCAGGATACATAATTTGGAGCATACTGCCCAAGAAAAATTAATTAGATCTTCACAGTTATTCAGCTGCAAGAGGGGCCTGGCACAAGCGCCAATTAAAAGACCATGCGTGGCACAGTAGCTCAGTGGTTAGCAATGCTGCCTCACAGCACCAGGTCTGATTCCCTGTCTGTGTGGAGTTTGCACATTCTCCTCACGTCTGCGTGGGTTTCCACTGGGTTCTCCAGCTTCCTCTCACAGTCCAAAGATGTGCAGGTTGGTTGGATCGGCCGTGTTAAATTGCTCATAGTGTCCAGGGATATACGGGCTAGGTGGATTAGCCACAGGAAATGCAGGGTTACGTAGATAGGGTAGGGGGGTCTGGGTGAGATGTTCTTGGGATGGTCGGTGTAGACTTAGTGAGTCGAATGGACTGCTTCCACACTGTAGGGATTCTATGATACTTCTATCATAGCAGGCAGCCACATTGCACATAAGGTACTTTTTAAGAAGTCCTGCTATTGCAAGGTGAATGCAGGTACTCCAGAGGGCCTGTGGTGAATTGATGGATTTGCTAGGGACCGTGGCTGCATCGTCACATCGAGAACAAGGAATAAGGACTGAATTCAGAGACCACTCAATTCCCAACCCTTTCCATTTCTAACTTTCCAGTGTTCTGCTGATGATAGTCCACATGGTTAAAGCTCTCTGGATGACACCACTGAGCCTGAGCTTACAACAACAGTGTCTGGTGATGACACAGAAATGGGCAGGATGGCCTGAGGTTATACTGTTGAAGGACTGATTTGACAGGCTTCTGGAGGCATAGCTCAAGGGAGATACCAATCCCGATATCAATCTCTGCGACATATCGAAAAATACTAGCCTTTAGATTTAAAAACAACTGGTCATGACTACTTTTGGGTTCCTTATTAGTGGCAACAGGGATGACTACTTTCAAATGGTTTACAAACTCTGAGAGTTGTACATAGATTTGTGTCCAGCTTTAGATTTGATGGTACCTTTGGTAGGAATAATTTTATTTTCACTGATGATGTCTAATAATTAAAGTTGATAAATGTAATTTTGAATTTTGATATTTAAATTTGAGACAAATCAATTATTAGATTTGAAAACTGGAATAAAATGCTTTTTTAAACATTTTACCATTTATATTTTTTGAAATAATTGCATGTTGAGGTTTGAATGTGTGGCACAAGTGTACTTAATGAGTTATTATGCAAAGTACAAAGCGTTATTTTTACAGGCAGTGTGTGTTAAGTGCTAAATTGAGCTGCAGAATGTAGCATGTGATATCATGTCTCACATTTTGCAAATAACAAAGTGGCTTCCTGTCAGTTAAACACAGAACAGGAATTGAACATATGAGTAAATTTGTGGTTTAACCATCAAGCTGGGTGGATTTGGAATACAGGTGAAAGCCTTGGAGAATGAAATGCTGAATTAGTAATGAGAATGGAAATAAGCTTCACCATTACAGCATTGGAGGCATTTATAATACTCCAATTGCCTGCTGTGCTGTGGACACTCTTGTGTATATAACCAGGTTCTACAGTGCAACATAATTTAATAGCTGAGTTTTCAGTTTCTTTCCCTGTGGTGCAAATTCAAAATCAGTTCCTTTTTGATTTCTTTCCTGGCTGTTTAATATAGCTTAGGTTATCAAACTCAGTTCCCTGATGTTGCTAACGGCATTGATGTCAAGAGTTTTCTTAATCTGAACACAAGGACTTATCAATAAAAGAAAAATCCAGAAAGTTCTTACCTTTTCCGAATAAGTGTAGCTCCATATTTTCCCATCTGCCAGCACTCTGGATACGATCTTGCCACTTTGATCATATTCCATTTGTTCAACCCAAGTTCCCCGCTGAATGCCTGTCAGCAGCCCCATAGGGGAATAGGTGACATTGACCTCATTGAACTTGTTACTGGGTGCCCAAAGAACTGGGCGTCCAGATTGGTCGTACTGAATTCTGAGAGTAAACTTTCGATGGTCATCATAGATCTTTCCGATTCTGGTGCGACGGTCAAAGTCTATGGATAGCAGGTTTCTGTTATGAGCCTAATGATAAACCAAACCTGAATCAGCATCACTAATAACAAGTTCATTGCCTTGGCTTTTAAAATAAAATTCCAGATAAACTCTAACCACAGCAAATTTCATCATCTATCATTAGAAAAGATCTTTTTCAAAAATATTTTTTTCTGGTTATAACTTATAATTATATTGTAATTTTTCTCTGTACCATTTTCCATGAAGCACTTGTGAATCTCAGCAATGTTGAGTTTAGAATTCCAACATTCCAAAAATCAAATTGCATCTATATAATGCCTTTAAGACAGGAAAATGTCCCAGAACTTTGTAGGTTGACTTAAATTGTAGAAAATGTTGCTCTAGGATAATTGTAGATTTTATGCTAATATTTGAAAATGGCATTTTGAGCTGTACTCCATTATAGTGTGATATTCATACCTGTCACTGATATAAGGAAAAAATTAAAATCACTGCAGGGTTCATATACCCAATGGAAGGAATAAAAAGGAAGGAATGACTGGCATTTATACATTGCCTCTCACAAACTTAGGATGTCGCAAAATGCTTTACAATTAATAAAGTACTTTTGAAAGTTATTCACTGTTGTAACATATAAATATTTTGCCTCAGGCATGATATTCTAATATATCATTTGAATTATTGAATTTGAATGTATCTAATTCCTGATCTAAGTAACTATTTTTCTCAAGATCTATAATCTTGAGGGAACTCACTTTTTGTTTTGATATATGAAGCGTATTAAAACACAGAAAGAGGCATAAGTAGCAAAACGCACAATAAATTATTCCACTGATAAATTTCAACATATTTTTTATCACAATATCCCATGTGTTTCAGTGAAAATTTGCAGAATTTACTGATTTAGGAGGTATACTGAATTTATTTAATATTTCTTTCATAAAATAAAATGACTACTATCAAGACAAAAAAGGCAATGCAGAATGCTGTGCATTAATATTTTGAAAAGAAGTGTCACTTTTTTTTATTCCAAAATGGGGCAGCACAGTGGCTCAGTGGTTATTACCTAACAGTGCCAGGGACCTGGGTTTGATTCCAGCTTCAGGTGACTATGTGGAGTTTACACATTTTCCCTGTGTCCGCATGGATTTCCAGCTGGTGCTCTAGTTTCCTCCCACAGTCTAAAGATGTGCAGTTTAGGTGGATTGGCCAAGCTAAATTGCCTTATAGTGTCCAGAGATGTACTAGGTAGATTAGCCATGGTAAGTACAGGGTGTGGGGCAGGGTCTGTGTGGGATGCTCTTCAGAGGGTTGGTGTGGATTTGATGGGTCAAATGACCTCTTTCTGCACTGTAGAGATTCTGTGCTTCAAAAGCAGGACCTGCTTTTCCACATACTTCTTTCTTTATATATATCTTGCTGCAGTTTTTAAAATTTAATCTTGCCTCAGGTAAAATAATTCTACAGCCTTTTAAATATATTATTGAACATTAGAGGTTTTTCGCACAGAGGGCTTTGTTAATTAGTTTAGTATTCTGAGCTAGCTTACTCTGAGAGCAATTCAAAACTAATTCAGCTATCTTGTTTTCACCGTCGAACTCTGTATCATTTTCTGCTGTAAATGTTTATCCAAGTTTCCTTTGAAAAATACAGTAGTCTCTGTCTCAATCATTGCTTGTGGCAAACCATTTCCTGCTGTAACAATCATGTGTATAACAACATTTCTCTGAACCTCTCCTCACCTTTGGTAATAATTATAGGTTATGAAAGGATTATTACTGAATCTGCAACTTGAGGAAACAATATTTTTCTAACTATAAAAAACTTCAGGTAATCTCCTACACCTTTAAATGTTACATTGAAACATTTATAATTTCTTAAATTTCTACACAGCTGGCTAAATCCTGGTGAATCTATGCTATGCACGTTATACCTTTAATGTCTTTCCTATAAGAAGGTGCACATGAGATTCACATGGTGGTTAAGCAAATGCTTACATTACTCATTCATCCTTGTATTTTATAACCAATTTATAAAAAATTAAATGTTGTGACATTTCCTTAATGTTTTTGGCTGTTTAATGCCTTACTTTCAGAGAATTTAAATTCTCAGGTCTGTCCATACAATACTTTTCAGCCTGTCTGTAATCTTCCCAAACTACATAGTAAAATGTACATTAAATTGCATCTGACATTCTGCATCCTCAATCTAACCTCCTGCATCCCCAAATCTATGTCTTCATGAAGTATAACTGTCCTACTCACTGCATTCCATTGTTTCACCAGTAAGTCTTGAAACTTTACTTCCTGTTCTCAAACTTAAACATCAAAAATGACAATAAAAGTGAATCCAGCACTGATAACATCATATATCACATGTGCCCTTTCTCCAATTTGAACTTTGTCCATTTATCCAAATCTTTATTTTGTGTTTCTCGACCATCTTTCTTTTCATGCTGTTACATACATTTGCATGCATATTTCTAAGAATCCAATGTGAGAGATCTATTGCATGCCTTCAGAGAATCTACATATACTAGATTACCTTTTTTGTATCTAATTGACCCTTTTTCAAAAGGTCTGTTAAATTTGTCGAACAAGCCAATCATGTTCTCATCCTTCTTGAATAAATTTACATTGGTTATTTTCTTGTCCCATATATCAGGAGGATGAAATTGGACACAGAGATTCCTTTTTATTGGTTATGGCACTTGGGCATCACTGTCAACTCTACCATTTATTATTCCTCAATAAGAGCCCTTGAGAAGACAGTAGATCTGAGCTGCCTTCTCGAACTACTGCAGTCCATCTGATTTATGTGCACTCACAGTACTAGTTGAATTTCAGGATTTTGATCCATCCACGATAAAGGAATGGTGATATATTTCCATATCTAGTTAGGGTGTTTGCATTCACCAGCTACTCTTCCAAATGGTGGAGGCCATGTTTGGAAGACACTGTCAAAAAGATGCTCAGTTGCAGAGTGCAGCTTTTAGATGGTAGATATCGTTGCATGGTGTGGCAATGGCAGTGTTGGAGGGGTTACCAATCTCTTCTTTAATTTCAAAAGTTTGAGTACACACTAGCAGGACCAAACATATTCGTTCAAACAGATCGCTAACTATTGCTATGATTTATTGGTACAATATGTCCTCCAAACTTTAATCTTACATTAAACTCTCCCTTCATCCTTAATCAGCCCTACCTTCATCTACCTACTATTTTAATGTTTATATAGGTTAAAAAAAAACTTAAAAATAATCTGAAAGCGTTCTCCCAACTTTTTTTTAGCCTTTTGATGTTTCCATTCATCTTCCCAGTAAACTTTTTATATTCCTCTTAACTGTTTTCAATACTTTGAGTCTTAATCTCATCAGTTTAGTTGGAAGCACTGTTATGTACTCACACAAACATGTTCTCTGAAGTGTCTCTTCTTGCTTTGTTTTATATTCAATCCATCTCCTATATTTTGCTAAAGTATTGTGCGTATTGCTTTTGATTTAAAAATTTAAATACATATGTAAGTCGGAATTTTCAAAGGGGAGGATAATTTTTCACAGTTTGGTTGTTTAAATTAAATCCAATATAGATTTCATGGATTTAAATAATGCGATTTCATAAATTTAAAGAAATATAATGCTGATAATTTTGTTTACCAAATGTCATCCTCTTGCCAGTTATTCATATTTTATAGAATTATCATCTTGAGCGTCTATTTTTGAAAAAATATTGTCTTTTAATTTTACATACAAATTTCAAGGTCTTTACCTTCAAACTTTACAGGTCTTGATTCTGGTACCACCACTAGGATTGCACACACTCTGGTGCCTTCTTTGTTGATTGCACAAGAGCACATGAGACCCAAAATGGCACCTGTGTCACGAATGGAACATCTTGGATATTTGCCTTTTGTCATTATCTGGAAGCTTTAACATGACTTTCCTGTTTTGGGGTAGTGTTAGATAGTACCCACATGAAAATTCATTGCCAAGCAGCCCTCTTTATTAAAAAGAAAGCCACATGAAAGTAAAAGCCAAATGAAAATCGTTCAGATTTTTAAAGGGCATAGAGTATATTTTGTATCTATTTCCACCAGTCAGGCCTGTTATCACCATTTAGAATGCTGTATATCTGCTCCCACTTGCTGGTCAACATTCCAGACTTATACAAGGACCCTTGGAGAATGTGTGAAACCATAATAGAGGGAGCCCCTGTTCTTAGTCTCATTTTCTTTGTATCATTAGTCTTATTTTGAGTAGGTGCATCAAATCCACAGTATTTTGCCACCCAGTGTACCCCAATGGAATCACAATTAAACCTACAGAAGAGCTGACCAAACTTGGCATGGTGATTGTTGCATTGGTAATGGTTCTGAAGGGGTTAACGTTCATATAATATTTATGTCCCATTCTTCCGATGTCACACACACTCGACGGCTGGAGGCAAGGAGTTCTACTCCAGCTTTCAGAGGGAATAGATGTACCTGCACCAACTCCATGAGGTCCTAGTAATTATACCTGACAAAATGTAGCGGCACATATTGCTGTCATATAATTAACTTTCTTGTTATCTAGGAACAGAGTCGCTATATTGGTCTATACTCTATCACTAGCCACTAGATAGGCTGAAGATAAAGCAAAGACAAAGGAAGATTAGTAGCAGCAAATTACTTCAAAGAACTGTTACTAAATGCCACAGACTGGTATGAGTGACAAATATCACATGGTACCTAGAATAGTCATCCTCAAAAATACCACAGTGGTCACCAGTATGCTTTATTACAATTGTAGCCCATTGTTTTTAGTTTGATACAAAAATAACTATCTGGACCACAAGCCCTTCTAATGTCTATAACTTGGAGAGAAACAACTTAGAAAATGGTAAATGACACAAATGCAAATGCAGCTTTCTGTTTTTAGTGGGTAGGGGTTCTTGTTATAAATGTCTATGCACTTATTTTATTGGGTTCACTGGTGTCAGTTGCTTTCGTAAATATTTCCTTTTTATGTGAGTTGAATAACATTACCCTGTTGTTGCTGTATGACAATATAATTAAAGACATCATAAAAATGCACGGTTGTTATCAGAACTGGGTATTTGCGTTTTGGCATGTGTCCTTCAACCAGAACTGAAATGCACTGAGTGTTCTATATATGTATAATCTGTTCCATGATGATTCATCAATGTGCTTTGTTTTGTTATGAAAATATTTTTGAGTTGTCAGAATATCATAATAATTATGACTTGCTTTCTAAGAATAAACTTTTTTCCTGTACTAACCCGAAATCTCCTTCCAAAGACAGCAAGGTTGCCTTTGCTCTGCTCCTTCCTCTGTCTCCACTCCACTATGTTTGGATTGTGTTCAGTAGGCAACGAGATGTTACGTTTTCCCATAGTTGGATTTGCAGCTCCAGCCAAGAGGTGAGGTTCTGTCTGTAGAGTCAATTCCATCCCGCTGGCAAAAGTGACTTGCAAAGAGCCGTCAGAGCCAACCCGGTAAGTATTTTGAATGTGCTCTGGAAAATAAAATGCCTCCAACAATTAATAATTAAGTTTACACATCATTAAAGTTGTCTTGCTGGATCTGACCTAAGGAGTGGAATCTCTAGGTCCCAGATGTGGTAGGCCCAGTGGCAGGGAGGGAAATTAATTAGCCAAGGTAATGGTGTATCAGAATCCTGGCACCTTCTAACTGCCTCTGGAATGAAAGTCTGGTTTGGAAGGCTCAAGCTCAAATTACCCAACCAGTTTTCAATTGATGCCTCTTTAGTAGTTAATCAATGACCAATTAATGGCCTATTCCCACTTGCTTTGCAATTACCTCCGCTTCAAACTGAACAAAAGTATAGTCCGCCGACCTGACTTGTAAACCAACGCAGGCTGCCTGTCAGTTGGAGGACTGCATTCAGTCTGCACTAATTGGCTTAAAAGTATTTATCTGACCCCTCAGACTTTGTGGTCTTGGTTGTCCCCCTGGTAGCGGCCGTGGCTTTCTCAGTGGTACTGCTGAATGCAAGAGCTGCCAGTTTCTGATTTGTTGCCATCTCTGATAGAGAATTTCCACCTTGAGGGACTTAATTTCAGACAAAGGTAGGCTTCTGCCTTCCAAATTGTCTGGTTGGAAGAAGAAATGATGGCCTTGCTCTGAATCAAATGTCCCAATAACTTTTGAGCAAGTAACCATAAGTCCATAAGTTGTAGGAGCTTCCTATAGCCTACACTTCAACACATCACCAGTTCCCTGGCCCAAATATCTGTCTCAGGCTTGCTGCAGTGCTCTAGCAAAGCTCAATGCTAGCTGGAAGAACAGCTCCTCATTTTTCACTTGGGAACACTGCAGTCTTCTGGACTCAATACTGAGTTCAGCAATTTTAGGGCTTGAGCACCTTCTCCAACATCCTTACCTCAACATGCACACACCAGGCTGTCATTCACATGGATGACTATAGTGGCTTCACCTTTACATATAATGTAAAATCATACAATGTATTCCTATAATTTGTACATTGACAATAACGGATACTGGAAGGCCTTGGTGTGTACTTACAAACACATGAATAGGGATCAGAGATAGACTATTTGGCTTCTCAAGCCTGTTCCACTATTCAAAAAGAAATCACTGCTGATCTGTTTGTGTTTCGAATTCCACGCACCTGTCTATTTCGAATAGCCTTTGATTCTCCTGCCTAATAAAATTCTCTGTACCACTGCCTTAAAAATATTCAATGGCATTATCACATTCACCTTGTCAAGGCAGTTCAGAATCTTTGTATACTTCAATAAAATCATCCCTCACACTTCTAAACTTCCAAATTCAAATGGTAACAAGCCCGGTCGGTACAGCTTTTCCTCAGAATTCAACCCACTCATTCCAAGTATTAATCTTGTAAACATTTCCAATTCATTTACATCCTTCCTTAAGTGAGGAGAACAAAATTCAACAAGGTATTTGAGACATGGTCTCTCCAATGCCCTGTATAAGGTAAGCATAAGATCCCTACATTTATCTTCAGTTTCTGTCATTATAAAAGATAGCATCCTGTTGGCTATCTTAATTACTGGCTGTACCTGGACACAAACATTTTGTGACTACTTCACAAGAACACTGAAATCCTGCTGCACCTCTAAATTCTGCAGTCATTCTCCTTTTAAATAATACTCTGCTTTTTTTTATTGTTCCTGCTGAAGTGAACAACTTCACCATTCCCACTTTTTTTCCACTCACTCAACCTATTTATATCCACTTACAGCCTTTCTAAGTCTTCTTCACATATAATTCTAACTATCTTTGCCCAACTTACAAAATTAGCGACCATGCTTTGTTCCCTTCACCAAAGACATTGATTGTGAAAAGCTGAGACTGCAGCCCAGAACCTTTTGGGGCTCTAGTTGTTATACCCTGCCAATTGAAAAAACATCCAATTTTGTATACTTTGTTTTCTGCCAGCCAGAGAAGCTCTATCCATACTAATATATTACCCCTATACTATGAGCTCCTATTTTGGGCAATATCTTTGTCAAGTATCTTCTACAAATCTCAATACAATCTGGCAAGAGCAGCTTCCATAGTGGTAGGGAGATTTAACATTTAAAGTACAACTGCAGCTTTCAATCCAAGGTTGGAGAGGTCTGTTTTGCCACCTCACACTATTTGTTCTCACCCCAGAAGGCTCCACAATCAAATTTGTAACTTTAGTTACAATTAACTAAAGCTATCTAATAAGATCCTGATCACAGAAAATCAGCTAGTGTCAGAAATGAGCTAATGGAATGCGTGGAACCTACACCATAACAAAGTTCTGCACAGTGGAAAATCCCAACCAATATTTCTATGGTTAGTTCGAGAGAGAAGAATGAATGGGAAATGGAAAATTGATCGAAAGGTTAGCAAAATCTTATTAAATTGTTACAAAATCTGCACTAATTTTATTGCCACTTCAGCCAAGCTACATGAAAAGAATGCAATAAAATCACATACTTTAAAAGATATATTTGAAACTTAAGCAACATGTACAACAAAAGCAACTAATCCGTTTCCTTTGGTTCTCTATAAATTCTATTTTGGAGCAATTTAAATGTAAATTTTAAAAAGACTGATGGACAGATTGGTTGTAAACTGACCGACTGACAGATGGCCTGCACAGTGCACTTCCATTACTGTTGCCCACAGCTGGAGTGGGTTTAATGATTGACAAGAATGCCAGAATTCTACTTCACTTTTGATTTATGACATGACAGTTATTTTCTGGCTTTACTGAGACTGGGAAGAATGTATTGGCTATTTAAAGTGTACGCTACAATAGAACACAAAATTCAGGCAATAAGCCTGGCTTCTTTGAATTGTTGTTGGTCGGGGTTAGGCATCTTCCATAGACAGAGACAGTAAATAAGTTAATTCATTTGCGGATTGAAGGGGAAAGGGAACATTTTGTGTTACGTTATTGACATAGTCATCGCATGCTAAATCACAGGCTTGGCTTGCTCAAAAAGTTAACATTGGCCAATATGCATCATAGTTCTGCTTGTGATGAGGACTTAGTGAAAAAAAAATCTTGCTTGAATTTAAAACAAAATCAATTCTATCATTAATTCTACTTATTTTTCACATTAAAATTCAGGTCATGAGCTGTGCGCGTTATCATATAATAATTACAAATTAGCTTTGTGAACATTTCAGCCCCAAACATTTTAGTGTAAAGCACAAGAATAATTATATTGAGTTTGTATCATTTGTTAGAAAGAAGAAAGCTTAAATAGTGACTGTTCATTTTGCAAGATTTTGTAAAACTTACCTTTACACTGCTTAAAGCTATATTTAACTAAATACTTATATTTTTACAGGCCAACCATTAATGTTAACTGATCCAAATGCAAGTCAAATTTATTATTTCTTCAATCATCAACTAAGATATTATTTTCTACTTGAAAAGTAACCATACATGTCCAAGAAAACAGCAAAATTTTGAAAATATTATACTTGCATCAATACAACTCAGCACCACAATTGCAGCTCCAACAACACCTTAGAAGCCTGATATCACTCAGGACAAAGCCACCTGCTTGATTGGCACCACATTCATCCCTTCAACAGTCACTCCCTCCAGCATTGAAGACGAGTGGCACCAATGTGAATCATCCTTTTTTATTCATTTGTGGAATGTGGGCATCACTGGCTGAATCGGCATTTAGTGCCAGTTCTAAGTTGCCCTTGAGAAGGTGGAGGTGAGCTACCTTCTTGAACAGCTGCAGTCCACATGCTGTCAGCCTGCACTATCATCTTTTCTACTGTGATTTAAATGGCTCTGGTTGAATATATGAAAAATAAATAGTTTTGAACTTGCAAAAAAAATCTAACTACCGATTCCCTTACATTGATAGATAGGCATCCTGATTTTGAATTGAAATGAACACCTCTAGTTCTTTCCTTCCCAGGGAGCTGCCTATTATTTGGGAATGTGGCTATGAGAAATGCAAGGCTGAGATTCAAGTGCTATTGGGTTTCAGCACAGTAAGTTCTCTATTCACCTAATGATAAAGGGCATTTTCAAGAATTTGTACTAACAAATTGTTCCATTGATGTGGCATCTTGCTTGTTGAAACAAATTAACAGTGTTACAGTGTGTTACAAGTCTTGTTACATATCAGAAAGCATTTTCTTCCTTGTATCAATGAAACGGCAGCTTTTATTAAATGATGAATTTTTTTGAAGGAACATAAACTATTTTCCATTGATGTCACGTAGAATCTGAGGACTATACATAGTATATACTGGCTGAGTGTACTGGGTTGATCTGAAGGGACACGTTCAATACATTAGTGGCATAGAGCTGGCATGGATTAACATGTGTGATCTGAAGAAACACAGGTTGGCGTGGAGGATGGGCAGGGAGAGAAGGGTGAGCCTTGTGTTGCATTAAAATGCTGCTGGAAACTGGAGTGCTGTGTTGGAAATGCAAGATGGGCATTCTAATTGGCCTGCTTCCTCACACATTCTCCTCAAACACATAAGCATGGCTCACAAACTGCATTGCCAGCTCCATCCCATAATGAAAAAACAAAAATGGGATTGATGTCACACATGACTGGGTACATTTTGCTCTCCACAAAAGTATACAGGTCAGACTTTCCCCAGAGCACAGGAAGGTTTTATCCAATAAGTATGAATATTACAGTCACTATAAAATCTATGGTTCAAATCACTACAAATTAAGAGTGAATCGTGTTGTTTAAAACTTTTGTGTTCTGGTTTACCTTGCCTATAAATATAAACAGCATTGGTAGCTGAGAAGTTGGCTGTAATAGCAAAGTTCTCTCTGTTGGAAAGGTTTGCTTCCACTTGCACCGACTTGTCCACCTCACGATAGAAACTGCTGACTTGCCCAGTGGGAAAAGTCACATTCGTCAGGTGGCCATCACTATCATACCTAGGTAAACAAAACAAAAGTTTTAAAGGAAGACGTTATGAATAATTATACATTGTTGATACCACACAGGACACGCGATTATAAAATATTCAACGCGAGGGAAGGAGGGACCAAATGCCCGACTTGCCTTCTAGATTAAGATGAATTTGGAAATACAGCATCAGATTCTATGTATACATCCTGCTTACCACACAAATGTCACTTTTGTTCCCTCTATTGACCCTGACTGCTCCGACATCCGGTACCAGCAGACAATTTCACAGTGTGAATATCAGGAAGACTAAATACGTTATTGTCAGTCCCAGACAAGAACCTTGGTCCTAGTCACAGATGCCATGCTTTTCCCTTACAATTACCTTGGGTTCAAATACAACGTTCGCAACATCAGTGTTTTGCTTAACCTTGAGATGAAATTCTGACGACGTATCCACTCACCCTCTCAGGAAGTCTACTACCAAGCTTGGATTGTGCACATCTTCACCTGGCTGATCTGCACCTGAAGTCTTTAACCATGTCTTTGATACCTCTAGATTTGACTATTTAAATGTTCTTCTACTCACCTCCGATATTCAACTTCCCATAAAACTTGAGCTCACTCAAATCTGTGCTGCCTATGTCTTAACTCGCACCAAGCCCTGTTCATTTATCACCCTGCATTTACTGAGTTATACTGGCTCCCAATTTGATAATCCCTCCCTTTTAAAATCCTCATTTTTGATTTCAAATCCTTTCATATAATCTTCTCCTCCCTGATCTGCAACTATCTTTAGGTCCACAATCGTGCGAGATATCTGCCCTCCTCTAATTCGGGAATACGGAAGAGGCCAAACTATAGTTGATCTACCAATGGTGCACTCTGCTGCTTCAGCCCAAAGCTCTGGCATTCTCTCCCTACACCTCTCCACCTATATCGATATCTTAATAACTTATTAGATGGCTCAGTGTCACAATTGGTGTTATAATGCTCTTGCCAATCTTGCCAAGGGTGATTTCATTACTTTAAAGATGTTACATATTTAAAAGTTGTTGTTGATGTAATGACGATCTATTGAAAAGAAACACCACATTATTTTGTTTCAGCCTCAGTTTTGGGAGACCAAATTCTCACTGTTTAAACTTCCTCCCATCTGCTAGAATAAAATAAGCATTCAGTTTGTATTTGTAACTACAGATGGGAGTGAAAGAACTCCAGCTGCAGTTTTTAGTTTCAACAATAACTTGCACTAATTTAGCACTTATTATGTAATCACATTACCCAAAGTACTTCCGAGGAGCAATAGTTAGTAAAATGTGACACTAAGTCACATAGAGACATTATTAGGAAAGATGATCAAAAGTTAAAGAGGTAGGGTTTCAGGGTACGGGGCTACATCAGGTAAATGGAGAGAGGTTTAGATAGGAAATTCCAAAGTTTGTTGCGTAGGCAACTAAAAGCATAGCTACTATGAGTGGAGCAATTAAAATTGGAGTTGCTCACAATGGAAAAATTAGAAGAACACAGATATTTTGGAGGCTGTGGGGATTGAGGAGATACAGATTATAAAAATTACATGCACAAATTTGAAAACAAAGATTGAATTTTAGAATCCAGATGTTGCTTAACCCGAAGTCAGTGTAGGTCAGTAAGCACAGGTGTAATAGTTAAGTGAAACCTAATGCAAATAACTACACGGGTGTCAGAATTTAGTATGATTTCCAGTTTACAGAAGGTAGAAAACAAGAGGTCAGCTAGGCATGTGTCCGATTTTTCAGTTTTAATTTTTTATGCCACCTGAGCAAAATCAATCATTTACCCACAGAAACACCAAAGAAAGTGACTATCCTTGGTTGCAAAAAGCAACATGTTCACCACTCTCTGTTTCTTTTTTGGTGTCTAAGTGTCAGAGCATTGAAGATGGTACCTAGGGCAAGAGCGGTTGCCAGTTCCTGACAGGAAAATGCATTTCTGTTCCCTATGAAAATTGTCCTGACTCATCTCTGCTCCTCACATCCACTGCATGCAGTAACACACCTATTTTAGAATCCATAAATGAAGTTGGATTCCACTCTATTCCATTACTTAGTCATTAACTCTGTTTCATTTCATTTTATGTTGTGTCAAGGACAATTTATTCCACCACCCTTGCACAGTCTTGGCAAAGGCTGACAAGAACTTAAAATCCATTTGACTCTTTACAAATACTGGAACATTTTTCCAACCATATCCCTTTAAGGGTGCATGATGCTTTTGTGTTGTTACTTAATTTTAATAGCTGTTGGTGCAGAGCCAAAACTGTGCTGGGAGCTAATTCTTGTTATTCAAATTAGCTGACTACGCAAAATGAAGTACTCAGCTCAGTATGCTTTCGGGCAACTTGATTCAAGCAGGCAGCCGCTCCAGGCACATAGTTTGCTGCCTTCGCAAAACTGGGGCCAACATGTACACAACTAGATTATATTTGCTGCATGCTCTGAGCTTTGGGGTTTCTCCAGAATCATATGCTATTGTGAATGTGGAACTGATAGATGCAATAATTTGCTTTACAGTGAATAATACACTTCTGGAAGCAGATACCTCCTAACAGCTAAAATGATAGCTTTGATAGTGTTTCTAAACATTGTTTTTGGATGGTGCTGGCACGTTTGCATTTATTCCCCATTCTCAGTTGGTCTGAGAAGGTGGTCATGGGCTTTCTCCTTGAACCATTGCAGTCCTCGGGCTATTGCTGCATCTAAAGATATTGCCCTACTGACAATTAAGAAAATAGCAATATATGTTGTGCGACTCACAAGCTGAACATGTAGCTGCTGGTGTTCTCATGATTTTTCTACTCTTGCCCTTCTCAGTAATTGTTGTTGCAGGGATGGGAGTTGCTGTTGAAATAACTTTGGAAAACTGCTATTTAAAATCTTACAAATTATGTATAATGCAACCAAGGTGTGCAAGTGATCAAGGGGAGTGCACATATATGTCAAAAATCTACCTGGCACTTGTTAGTCCAAAGCAAATGTTCTTAAAGTTGTTGATGTGGGAACATTTCATTCTCAGATGATTTATGAATGGAACTGAACACTGTGTGAAATCACCATTGCGACTTTATGATGGAGGGAAGTTCATCAATAAAGTACTTGAACATGGCTGAGATGAGAAACACTATCATATCCCACTTCCTTTGAGCCAGATGTGAATTCAGCTATTTGAAAGGCCTCCCTTCGAGTCTGTTTGACCTTAGTTCCTGCACAGTACGTTGTTGCCAAATTCAACCTTGACGTAACCTGCAGCCAGTCTCATCCCTCCTCTGGTATTCTGCTTTTGTGGATTATATTTGGTCAATGGTGAAGCGCAAACTGGAGCCAATGGTTCTTGCAACAAAATATCAGTGAGTTTCTTCATGTTAAGTAGGTTTCATTTGGTGGCACTACTGATGATGCCATTTGTCACTTTATTAATGATTGGGAGGAGGCTGATAGAACTGACTTGGCCATATTACATTGATCCTTTTATCTTTGAAAGATTATACTGTGTCTGGGAAATTCTACAAATCAGCAGTTAACTGCCTGGGGCATAACTGTGAGGGAAATTTTTGGTGAAGTAGTTAACTGTTATTGCAGGCTTCTAGTTTTACTGATGCTCACAGACATATGTATCATACACCATTATGTTAATATATAATTCACAGAGGTAAGAGGTGAGAGAAGAAAAAGGACTATTATCTTTCTCTTTCATCAAAGAGGGAGAAAGGAGATGCCTTTATACAAGACTTTTCATGGTGTATCAAAACATTTTACAGCCAATTATGAACTTTAGGGACTGGATTTTGACATGTGAATTATTGATTTAATTTGACTGACGTATTCTGGTTAAAATATGTTTTTTTTGTGTGATAACGTTTGTTAATGTCTCAATGTTTACTTGGGCAAAATTGAGTTATTAAGTGTTTGAAATCTTTGTTATTGACAATTAACAGCCTAACAATTAGCATTTTTATGGGATTGCAGTAACACTACCTTTTTTTATGAAAGAACATTTCTGAATTGGTGTGCTGTTAAACACTAGGCATTTGCATATGGTTCATTGGTATGTATGCAATGCATATTGGCTGAATGGGCATGGAAGTGATACTTTGGCAGTGAGTTAGCATGCATAGTTTGAGGGATCATGGAACATACCTTGGGGCATTAAGTCGTTACGGTGAGTATGAGAGGTTATGAGGAATATGTGGGAATGAGGTGTTGTGAAAGGAGAGGGCTAGAGTGCCTAATTAATTGTTTTTGTTGCAATTGGAATGAAGTTGCAGGGAACCAAAATGGGCCAGTGAGCAGTTCACCTGAGCACTCCCCTGCCACTTGGCTACCTCAGACTTGTTTGCAGGATCAGTGGGCTTGAGTCCACCCCACACCCAAGCCCTTCCTGACAAAAAAATGCACAATTCAGGGCCCTGTAGCTGCGGCAGACCTGCTGAGTATGAAAAATTCTTGACTCAAGGCACCCACTTTAAATGCAGAAGATCTAATCCCTAACATATGTCATCAGCTGTAAAACACTTTGAGGCATCTAGCATCATGAAAAGTGCTACCTCAATGCATGTGTTTCTCTTTTGTCTTTTCAAAAAGAGAGGAAGACAATAATTCTCCTTCTCTTACCTCTTAACATTACAAATTGTACGTGAACAGAAAAATCTATAAATCTATGAGCGCTGGTAGAACAAGCAGCCTGATAATGCTGTAACTTACTCCTAATTTGGTAAGCGAACATAATCAAGGTCCATTGTTCCTATTCACTGAAATGGGAAAGGAATTTTTACTCTCATACATTTTCATGCCGTTTTTAAAAACTAAGCTCCTATGTTGTTTCTGCATTTTTTCCATCTGCCTGTGATTTGTTCCAATGTGTCATCAGAATTCCATCAAGCTGAAGTGTTCTCAATCAACAGCAGCCAAGAATACCTCTCAAGAAATCAATTTGAAGTACTCAGCTCGAGGATTATTTAAATGCACTTTCAATTCAAGGTACAGGGTGC